CATTCTAGGTTACGTTGACTTTATCAGATGAAAGTTTATAGTACATTTCATCAATTAATAAATAAATGTGAAAATCGTAATTTTCAACACAAATAATAGTCTCGCTACCTTAATGTTTAAATCTCATTGTCGAAACGAAGCTTACCCATTCACGCTAGTCACAATAAACATCATAATCTTGAATAGGCGTAAATGATCATGGTAAAACTTAAATTAGACTATTTAGGCATCAGGAAAGATTGAAATGTCTGAAAAATGACGCCAAAATATTAAAAAAGTACTGGGCAATTTCTTGGTCCCATTTTATTTTGTTAAAATAAATTTACAGGGCCAATTTACAACAGAATATGACTAAGGGGAGAGTAGGAAATCAAACGGGCGATGCACCGTGGTCATTACCGCGGTGGTGGTGGGTGCTTGCCGGCCGACCGCATTTTATGCAAATTTATGCATAGATTCCATGACGACGGCTGACCGCGGTCGTCTGCGGTAGGCTCGCACAGCAATTCACACTTATTGTCAAGACCATTAATGAACACAAAGAACTGGGAGATTAAAAGGATCACAAAGTTCCAATGAAAAATTAAACCAATTTGTCTATAATAGTTGACATTATTTTATTTGCCTGAGCCTTGGAATAAAATCCCAAAACGATCCAGAAAGACGTAGAGATCAACATACCGGATTCAGCTGATACCCCGCCCTGGGCGATCTTATGGAGGATTCGATTTTTTTTTTGGAAAAATGTGGACCAAAAGATCGCCCGGGCGATCTTTTGGCAGATATTACGAGGCCCATTTTGTCTAAAAAAAATAACCCTGCGTTGATAGAAATGGTCCAGAAAAAATAATGTTTCGCATTGACCAAATATATTCATGCAAAGTATAAATTCAAAGTGTTTTAATACATTGGTGAGAGGTCGCATTTTACGTGAACAAGAACATGCACTAAGAAGGAAAAGCAAGTCAAAGTCGAAACGGGGTGCATCATGGACATGACACAACACACGCTGCGACAACTGAGTGATTAGCGACATCATTTTGGGACGCAATTGAACTTGAAGTACTTCTTTGCGAAGTGTGTGTTGACCAAAGTTTGTCCCCAAGTCACGCGCTGAACTGGCGCGTTACCTTAGCAACCTTTTTCTTTTGCGGTCTGCATGTCGATGTATGCAACTTGTATGCAACGCTGTACTGGCTTTGAATATATCAACGTCGTTTGCTTAGTGCACTGCTTTTCTAATTACGCAAATTTGTTTACAATATTGTACCAGCTCTGAATATTTCAACTTTGTATTAAATGTTGCTTTCATGATAATTACGCAAACTCAAGTTAATTTTTGCTATTGTTAGGGCACTGACCCGGGGTATTGGGTCTGTGAATATTTCAATATTACCGACTTGATAATGCGTTGCATTCGTAATAATTACGCAAACATAAACATTGGCGCATTTAAATAATTAAAAATGATAGTAGTCAGGTATCTACGGAAAGTCGAGAAAATAGTTTAAATACTTGTGATTCACCAATGTTCCAATGGTGATTTTTTTATTCGAAATGAAGTGAACATGTAATATAAACCATACCATGCGTCAAGTTAAATTTTACTATAATATAATAAACTCTGGACAGCGCACTTCGATCACAATATTCACGTACATTTCGACTGAACTCTAATAACCACGCGTTTGAGTTCACGCACTG